TCAATAGATAGATAAAAGAGCCCAAGTCTGTTCATTCAGTTTTAGAACAATAGATCCAGAGAGATGTGATTGAAAAGGTCGAGGACACCAGAGAGGAGGAGGAGGAGGAGGAAGAGGATGAGCAAGAGCAGTAAGGAGTGGAGGAAGAGGTGAAGGAAGAGGAAGAGGAGGAGGATGAGGATGAGGGGCAAGGAGACAAGGAGTCTCAGATGAAATCTCGTGCCACTAGTTGACCATGTCCTTGTCCATGGTATGACTATGAGGGAGGCTGGGCAATGAGTTCAGCCAAACTTAAGTTGCTTCACCGTCACCTCCATCATCAGAACCTTCAGGGAGGAAAACAGGTAGGTGTACCTCAGTGTACTCTACTGTAACTTTTGAGTGCTGTACTCTGTTACAACACATGCATCAAATTGCCTTACATACAGATAGAGTTTCTGTCTGCTTCCATTTTGTAAAAAGGATGTTACAGTTACAGTAATCAGTACTTCTATTTTTGTAGGACACAGAGACGATGGAATGGAAGAAGCCTGACTAGACACTTCAGCTGATGCCAGGAGGATCAGGCATGCAAGAGGATTTCCCCCCCCGCTGCCTAGCTAGGGCCAGTACAGCCTGTGATGTGGACGAGCTTCTCTGGCCTGTCCCAGAACAAAGATGTGATGCTGGGGCAGAATATTTTTTGTTATTGTTTGGTGTATTGTACTGTACAGTACATTAAGGAATAAAAAATGTGCAAATGTATACACATGTGTTCATTATGTGAAAAGTTCCTTGAGGGGGAGAACCACAAGCAACATAACTTATTACTGGTTTTTGGTTTTGGTTTTTGCAGTATTGTTTTGAATTTATTGCAGCAGTGTGTAATACTATGTTGTAGTGTGTGTGTTTGAGGGCTTGTGTGTGATGTCTGAGGGAAAAGTTTGGTTTTTCAGCAAGAGTGAATGGTTTTGAGTGTAGAGCTTCATTTCGACCTGAAAATAGGATGTTTGGGAAATTGGGTGAGACGTTATGGATTTGTGTTTACTGTTTTGAGAATATGAGGCATAGTTTCAAGAAATGTGTTTAAGCAATCGAGAAAAACTGTAATAATTATAAAAAAAACAATTATATTACAGAAAAAAATAAATCCCATGACCAAAACAAAATACTGGGGTACTAAGTACAGCTTATGGTCTCGAACGATCCCATAAAATCATAAATGTTATTTTTAGCTGGAGTTTTTATCGTATACATTTCATATTGTGCAAATAAAGTAGAACTTGCTATGGAAGCAGGACACGTGTGTCACGTGTCACGTGTCGTATGTAGTGCCTGACTGTGAATAATCACTTCTAGTGATGTCAGTGTGCTCTAGGTCTAGGATACTAAAGTCCCTACAGTCCCAGATAGCGCCGCTACAGTCAGCATTCTCCAGCTTCAGATATAAGCTGACGTGTGGTGAGAGGCTCCAGCTCTCTGAGGAAGAATCCTGTGATGATGATGATGATGAAGGTGACATGATCAACACTTTCCTTAAAGTGCCCTTGTCCAGCTTTTGAGGGACCTCGCTGACATTTTTCAGATTATGAACCTTTGTGCTGAAAGAGTGTGATCATCCGGAATATGCCCGAATCCTCTGTGATTTACTGCAGATATGCAGGTGTGATATCAGTCTTTATAGCAGACTGTGAACAGTGAATGTGAACTAATGAAATCTTCAATGCTTCATGTCCTGAAGGAGAAGTCGTCTGATGAGATGAGCTACGCCGCTGTGGTGACAGACTGTGTGTCTCAGATGGGTGAGCATATTAACCACATGATCAGCAAGAAAATAATACTTTTATTCATCAAGGACGCATCAGACTGATCAAAAGTGAGAGTAAAGACATCTATAATGTTACAAAAGATTT